ACCAGGGTAAGCGAAAATGTGATCTGACTGAAATGTTGGAAGTGGGTCTATGTCAAAAAAAAAAATATCAAAGAAAGTGCATGTCTAAAAAGGGGAGTGTTGTGGAACTTGAACTCATCCAAATACATATAGACTGACACTGAGAATCATCAGTGGAAGGGAGAGAAAAGTAGGGAATTAGAGATCTAGCATGTCTGCTTACTACTGATTTCAGCAAGACTATGTTGACTCCAATCAACATTCTATTTTTTGATTGTGTTATCATCATTCAATGCAATGAAGACATAACATTTTTTTTTTTTAAAGTAAGCCTTTATCAAAATGCTGAGCCTAGAAAACACATACAGTTTGAAAGCTCCTTGCTTAAGCAATTAGCGAAGCTGCCCACTATTAGTAGCAACCAGATGGAATTTATGGTTTAATTCGACCTCAAATCATTCATCCTATATATAAAATTTTATGAAGGATTCTTTAAGCAAGAAAAGAGCCTGGACCTTGCAGTAGAGAGGATTCTAATAGTCAATTACACCATGCACCCTACCATAGTTTGCATCTTAATCTGCATTTCATTAATGAGAACTGTGTGACACTATTTAGCTATGGTAATTGGCTAACTAATTAATCATAGAACTTAAAAACGAGAAATACTTAAAGCGAGAAGCTATATCGAAAGACATACTGAGCGATATTATTTTTTTTTTAACAAAAGAAAAACGGGTAAAGATTTTATTTTCATTTACGAAGAATGATATTTTTTCGCAGAAGACAGAAAATTCATAATTCTGTCGGAATTAATTAATGTCATGATAAGAGAGTGACGTGCCAAGGGAGACAGAATACAGGTAAAGAATAACAACTTCACGACACATGTAGCAATAATAAAAATTTTGATTCGGTCAGCTGCATGTAGGCTGAAGTAATCGAAATTTGGTTATCTTAAAAACCGACGAAGAAGCCAGCTGTATGAACACAGACCTTGATATGGACATTAAGTCTGCCTGTTCAAACTGTTAACGACAGACTTTCTGTCACCAAGAACGGGCATCTGGAAAGGCAGACGAGAAAGACAAAGAGATTTGGTCTTCAGGTGGAAACGACTACCCAGTTAAAAGTTGACTGCAGTAATTAATGAGTCGGCAGAGAATTCCGCTAATGAATTCCAGGTGACCCAGGATAAGATAAAAAATTAATGGCCGCAATGTGCGATTCATAAGAATTCTAGTCGATAGAAGAGAAAGAAAGAAAGAAAAGGGAGGATAATTTTTTTCTTTGGGCGATAATGTAAACTAATGCCAGTCTAGCCACACACACACTGCCGAGCGTTCATTGGCTGAGTGGTGGCGTGAGTGATGGGCAAAGGTGAACATATGAGAAAGAAGAGAGACTTGTTGACGCCCACTGTAGAGATTGGTATGAGATACCAATATGAGAAAGGAAGAGTTTAGGAGGATAATTCTCCTCCGACCTCTCTTCACAGAAGGGGGAGAACCCCTCTAAAACAGAAAGTAATTGACTTCCAAAAATGGGAAGTGATAAATTTTCCTGTCCGAAGACAAAGAGAATCCTTATTGGGGATTTGGAATTATCAAAGAACCCAAACCACGTCCAGCCCCACACCAGGTTTTGGTTGGCATCCATATAAACGAACGTCCCTGGGCGTTCAGGCAGTTCCGGTGAGTTCCAGTGAGTAGCAGTTAAGTTCAGTCTCAGTTGGAGACCAGTCGAGTCCGAGAGACCACGGGCTTGGAGAATAGCGCCTCGCAGGAGGTGACCACAAGATTTCACGCCTTCCGACTTAGACTTCTAACCAAAAACAAGTTTTAATGAAGAACGACTTAAAACTTGCTTTGGTGGTGTAAGTCTAATGAATATTGACTGAAGATACTAAAAATCAGTTTATTGAAAAAAAACAACTTAAGATATCGGGACTCGCTTGGGAAATGCAAAAGTGTCATGAATCCATAGAAGCGGGCTAGGAGAGAGACGCACTCCTGTATTCAGCAGACAGATATAAAGATACTTATTATTTCTAAACACATTTGAACCTCTTGAGTTTGTTTCATTATTTTTTCTTTTATATACACTTGTGTGGTATCACATTTGTCCCGGATTCAGCTTGCACTACGGCCCGATGCCTGATTGATTTCGTCTACCTAAGATCAAATCACAATGTGTACCCATTTAATGACAGCACTGATGAGCTTAGATAAAATTGCATGTGTTGTATACAACATGATAGAAAATGTAAAATATTATCTGGATACAACAGCATTTGTCCAGAAAATTGATTGTCTTTTGTCTGAACTAGAAAACACAGAGAAGGAAAGGGTTAACTCTTGATATCACTTTCAAAACTGAATAAACATCTGAATGTCCACCCTGTGTATGACTTTTACAAGGGCACTTGTTTGCTTGATTCTAGACACACACTCTTTATATGACACGATACTGACAGTTTTGCAGGCATTAAAAACATACAGGAATTCCAAATTTATGTAAATCACCAAGATGACCTTGTAAATTCTTTTAATATCCCAACAATTGAGAATACAAATAAGAGCAGATTTTCCCTCGTGGAATGGATTGTCGATAGGATCCTATTGCTGCCTGTTAGTAGCATACATCGTGAACATTCATTTTCTCAGTATAAACTTGAAAATTTGAAGAAGAGAGTTGAGGATTGTTAATTTCTCAATTTGGACTATTATTAAATTTTTGACAAATTTAAACAGCATTGATATTTCTCATTTGAGATTAGTTGTTTTATTTAAGTAGAATTTGAATGAATGTTCTACAGATCTGTGTAAAAAAAATTACAGGACTATGTTAATAAGTTGAAATGTTAATAGGCTGAAACTGACACACACACAAAGTGAATGGTCATCAATTCCAAAAACAAACTTTTTGATTTATCTTTTAAATGTTTGACAGATAAGATGTTCAAAGAAAAGCTTCAGCTGGTTCCAATAGATCATGTCACATATATCAGTTGAAAGCAGTGAAGAAATCAAAGTGTTGAAGGCTAAAACAACTGAATGCAGACCTGGTTATGTTACACACTTTGGAGTTCTACTACACTTGAAAATTTTGAAATACATACTTTAATTCTTACTGCTACACATTTCAACTATCTAGACTACTCATGGATTTAAAAAAAAAATTGACTACTGTACATTTCCTGTGAAGTTATGTATAATGGTTTTAATGAACAGAACTACAAATAGAAATTTTCACAAAAAGACTATTCCTTTTAGCTATCCTTACTACTTATGGCTTTCATTGCACATGGCACAGAGCACAATAATGTTAGCATTTTTTCAGTTCATCAAGTTTAGCTTTGACCTCCTCTTCCAATTTTGATATCTCTATGGACTTGTAGATGGTATTGGACTTTGTGATAAGTGTGAAGTTCTGAGTATAGACAGCTTTCTCTGCATAACAACACAACTTGAGCAAATCTTGTGTGCAACTTTCAAGCTTGTTTTTTGGTCTTCATTTCTTCATTTTCCATAAGTATGAATTTCCATTTTTGTCCAGCTGTTATATCTGCCTTTTATTCTTCTCAGCCTCAAAGTATTGGTCGTATGTTGTTCTGACATTGAAAGCACTGCAGAGAAGACCCTTAGTTATGGGAATATTCCCAGCACCTCCAACTGTGGCCAAATAGTCTGTGATAATGTGCTGTATGCTGTTTCATATTGTCAGTGAAAATTTCCTTATTGTCTGAGAAACCTCTCTACTGAGGCCTGTCCATGAGCAAGTACCAGCAATCTGTGAACAACTTTCCGGTATTGATATTCTTTGTTGCTAGACAAAGAGTAAAACAAAGTGTCCAGGTCTTTTCAAGGAGCTTTTGGGCTATTGTTTTTTCAAAACATTTTTGTTTATTGCCTTATTGTTTATTGTCACAATGATTCAGCTATCTTTTATTTGTTTTGTAAAATGTTGGTCAGAATCCATTACTTACTTAGATACTTATTATTCAGATTAAGCCAATGTTGCAGTTGATTCTTTAAATTTGTGATTTTTGTTGTTTTTCAATATTGTGAATCAATGATTATGCAGCAATTGTATCCAAATCCTTTCATTAAAAAAATTGTTACTTTACAGATGCATTGTTTCAATATTTGTTCTTAAAAGAAGAATCCTTGTTTAAAATTGGGTGTTTTTCTAATTTCACTTTCAAAACTCATTTTCAAATTTTTGGGGAAAGGTGATTTGTTATAACAAGAAGGTTATCGAAACAACAGATTTTGTGTATTCCCATTATTAATTTTTTAAATCAATTTTGGTGAATTCCCTGTCTTTGAAACAAAAGACATTCAATTATACTTATTCCCAAAGAACAAAAATTTCTGATATATCAAATACCTTTTATAAACAATTGTTATCGACACCTCCCTACTTTGTATTTTATTATCTATTGTACTAGCTGAGTGTATTTGTAATCTTGCTGTTCCAAATAAGATTTTTTTAAGCAGAGTAAAATTTTCTGAAAATGTGTACTTGTGGACCCCTTTTTTAACTTTAATTTTCAAAATTTACCATATTATACTCAAGAAAATATGATACATGTAATAAAATTCTGATCTTTGTTTTCAATGTTTTAATAATAATTATAGCATGCATATATACACATATATATACACACACACAAACATACACACGCAAATAAATTTAAATGGAACTTACCAAAATGGAAAATGGAATTAAGAAAAATTTGAAATGGAAAATAAGTCCCCTTACTATTGTGAAGAAAAGTAAAACCCAATATAATAAAACCTACATTGAAAAATACATACATGAACAATTTTAAAAAATGTCACTTTTCTAAATATTTGGATAGTTTATATATTCTTTAACCAGCAAAAACATCAGAATTTGTTTTTCCATAATAGTCTACACAAAAACCTAGTGTTGTAAATTAAAATTGAAATTTTACAAAACTTCTTTTCACCATCTATCAAAAATTTGTGGCAGCATATTTTTAAACAACTTACTCAGTTATGTGTTTGGATTCCATTAACTTGAGGAGAACTTCAATGGCAACAATAGGATTGTTTTCCACTAAGTCTGGAAGCTAGAGTAGAAAATTAAAAATACAATAAACTAGACCAAAATAATTAGAACAATTAATTTTATCTAAAACTTCAATCCTAATTAACACATACTATATGAGAAGTAGTTTATAATCTAAGAAAATTGTATAATGTTAAATGTGCACAAAAATCAATTTATTTGATAGAAATACATTTTTCAAAACATTATGAAAAAGATAAAATTTTACATTTAGATACCTTCATTCTTCCATTCTAACATATATCAGGATCTCAGTTTATTTTTTTCTGTAATCAGTATTGCTTTTTAAAGTAAACAATTTATTGTTAAAATATGAGGAAGTTCTTGAAAAATTCTTGACACAATCAGGCTTTTCCAAAAAAAGACCTGATGTTAGGTGTAAATATTTTTAATATCTGAAGAATAAAGCTGATTAATTCCTATATAAGAATTACTATTTACTGTTTATTATTGTGCAGACTAATACAGTTTTAAAATCTACAAGTTTTAAGTGTAACACTTACATTATGTTGGAATTTTTGAGATGAGAAATTATCATTATTAGATGCTTTGTTGTTTGGAACACCATGCTTGTCTTGGTTGTTATACTCACATTTCAGTCACTATACTCTGTTATGAGTCTTAGTGGACTAAAACATTGATTTAAACATGTCTGGTTTCCTGGCAGTTGTGAGTTCACTCCATGGGTTTGGTAGTGCTGAAAAGTGACATGCTCTGGTTCAACGAAAGAACAAGACAAGTGACACATAGGTGAATTAGACTAGTGAGTATTAACTGATATGAAATTTCCCCTGAACATGGGAAGTGGAATGAAAACAATTAATTTCTGTGGATTGAATAAGGGGTTCAGGTCAAAATTCTGAGAAAGTTACTGAGTATGATGACAGACCCCAAAGAAGCCTGATGAATACAACAGCCAAAATGTTTTGAGAACAATCACCAAGATAAGCATACTGGTCCAAATAGCAAGGCATATAATATTTCTTATTTTCATTCATATTCAACATTGCTTGATATATAATGGATATAATATTAATGGTCTAATTAATCAAAACATAATCAGCTCAGCTGGATCCTAATTGTTTTTGCTGATGCTATAGTCAGTTTCATTGCTGAATTTCAATGACTACTTTACAGCTTCTATTTTTCTTACTACATTTAAAATTTTCAGTCACTCTTTCTAATTAAGGATTTTGATTCAGTTATATTTTTAGACCAATCTCTAAGAGATTTTGCACTATTCCAACCAAACTTGATAATTGATTTTCTTAAGCACACTAACTTTCAATTCAACATTTGTCATTTCTACTATTTACTAGGTTCTTTGTCATATCTAGGATATTTTTAATATTAGGCTATTGTTTTTTTACAAACTTTTTAATGTTTTAATTGACTGCGACTGTTGATTGCTTCTCACAGAATATCATCAGTGTCAATAGTTTCTTAACTTTCTTCAAATCTTTTTATTTGTAAAAAAGCTTTCATTCAAAATCAAATTTGCATGTAAATGTGTATAGCTGATTTTTGCTTTATTACTTTAATCCAATTAATAGAAAATAAGCTTCTTTTTTTTTTTTTAATGTATTGAACATTTCCACTTATTGGCTTTCATTCATCAAACATTTTACTTTCTTATTTAGATTCTGAGAATTTACATACATATTTTTATTTATGAAAATATATTAATATAAAATCTAAAACAAATGTCAACAGTTGCACAACAGGAAATATGTGATTGCTAAATCTAAATATACATAAATACTTTAAAAAATATAAGAACAAACACACCTTAGCAGGAGTCAATCCTATATGATAAACTAGTTTGGGATCTCTTTCTAATCCATCCATAAGTTGTTGTTGCTGCTGTAATGTCAAAGAACTTTTAAGAGCTAAGGTCATGAGCCGCCGTACATCAGTTCCTGCACTACTACGAGAACACATAGACGTATCCCAGGCTGGTATATAATCTGCTTCAAATGGATTCATCCACACCAACTAAAAAGGCAGAAATTTATGTAATTATAAAAAAGGATTAAATAGAAATTTTCATTTTTAAAGACAAATTAGAAATTAATAAATCTTTAATTATGTGTATGCTGATTTCAATTTAGAGTACTTAATCTTGGTTCAATTAAAAGAAACTACTAAATTTGGAAAGCTATATGAAAGGAAATACTTCATAGTTAAGAAATTGAAATTCATTATTTTAAAATTAATTTTTTTCCTTTTTACTATTAACAACCTGTAACAAATGAATGAGTGAACGTTTGATGAGGCAAACGTCATGGCGGTGGACACAAAAATCGCAGTGTGTGTGCGTAACCAGACTGGGAGCGAGGCCCCTATTCATTTGCATAAGCGTATGCCTCACCGGAATAAAAGCTAAGAGTTTGGGGAAGGTGTTGAGTCGAGCGAAAGTCACATGTGTTGTTTGTTTCGTTGTCAACTGCGGTGTAAGACTGAGCAGAAGCAAAAAAAGAAGAAGACAAAGACAAATTTTGTTACAGAAAGATTACACAACCTTAATATAAGATTGATAAATGACACTGTGTTGATGGCAGACTCAGAAAGGAAACTGCAAGAACTCCTATATAAGTTAATAAAGAAAGAAGAAAAACCTAACTATTAACTGTAAGATGAGAGAATATGTGGTCATCAGCAAGAAGGAGAGCTAAAACACTGCACTCTAACTGCATGCACTGCTATAGGCATTGAGTTTTTGAAACAGTGATTCTTCTGTCGATTGTAATGTGAGTATCAACCTCTTTAGCCTTATTCTTATTCAGTGTAGCAGCTGGACATTTCAATTTCTTTTTCTCTAGGATTGCCATAAGCTCTACTGACTTATGTCCTTACTATGCTTACATCAAGTACAGTCTTTTCATAAACATTCACTCACCTCCTGTGAATGTTTGCAGTACTTTCTCCTTCCAAAACAAAAATTCTGTGACAGCTCTTTGCTTTCTACATGTGTTCAAAGAGACAATCGTTTTGAAAAAGTATTATGGATTGGTAAAGAGAAGCTATCTCCACCAATTTTTTTTCTTGGTTTATAGCTAAAAAAACGAAAACACAAATAAATTCCTGAGAATTCTGTTAAAATTAACTTAAAACAAGTTTTACTATTTAAGCAACATTTGTAATTTTCTAACATGCAATCAATAGCCACTTAATAAAGAATAACTGAGTATGTGTTCAGACGTTTAGAGACAATAAAACTATTAGGTACACTATAAATATTAAAGTTGAAAATGTTATTTGAACAAGTATAATAGCATAACAAATTTAAATTATTTACTTTTATTTTTGTTTTGCTGTAACCATGGCAATAAAAACCTAAACCAGGCATGGAAAACCTTTCTTGAGCAATGGGGCTCATTATAAGGTGGTTCAAACTACTAGGAACATTCAAGGTAAATTTTGTTAAAGAAGCCCCAGTCTTTTCACTACAGAAGATTATATGCGTAAACATGTGCTGATGTATTGTACAAACACAGACACAGTGTGTTCCAGCACCACCTGTTAGGATACATTCTTTTGGTCTGAGCTCAGCAAATTTTGAAAAACTAATTCTGTTTGGATTTTTTAATTTAAATAATTGGTATGATTTTTTCACTATGCTGACTTTTTCACTCTTATAAAACAGCAAAACTTTGTCAATTGTCTCTTGTGGGAATCTACATTTTTGTATATTTAGCAGAGATAATATTTCTTGTTCATTTACAAGTTTTTTGACTTGTCTTGCCATGTATGTTGTGGTGCCAAATTTCATTTGAATTCTTTGGATATTCCAGTTTTTTGAAAGTATTGACAAAATTTGAACTTTTTGGGACCTCTTTTCACAACCTGAAAACTTTTCTTTTAATTGTGTAATAATTTCACTTTCTTCAAATCTTTTGTGCTCTTCTTGATGAGAAATTTTAGTTAAAATCTGTTTAATTTTCTTTGATACTGCTCCTTTAATTTTTCCTACTTTCTATTCCTCATAACTGGTTTGTTTTTCATGTTTTTGACATTTGCTTTTTGACCCAGCATTCAAAGAGCTTTCTAAAGATATACAACTTGACCATATTGGGAGATATGAAAATGTTAGCATATAGTGGCAAATTCCAAAATCTGCCAATTTGAATTTGGCACAACTCAGTGAAACCCTTGTAACTCAGGCACAGTCAAAAGTCCACCACAAAATTTTGTAAATATCTTGCCATAAAGCAGACAAATTTATTGTCAAATTTAAAAAAAAAAATTAAAGTTACTTTTTTTGAGAAATTAACAGTCAAATTTTAAGGTTGAGATCAAATTATCTTATTTAACCTTTAAACAAAAAAAATAAATAGATCATCTTTTAGATCTATCGAAGTACTTTCAAATGGTATATAATTTAGCTTTGTAGGTGAAAAAAAAACAAAAAACAATTGAGATACTGATATTTAAACTTTGTGACTATTTTACAAAATTCACCTTTTTGTGAAGGGTTATATCTCTGGAAGCCTTTGACCTAGAGATGTAAAATAATTAGCATTCAATTTCCATCATAAAGCTTTATAAGTGTACCAAATTTGAAAAAAATCTGTCAGTGATGGTCCGACTCTTGTTGATTTAACATGGAATGACTCAACTTTGCATAAAATATAGCCTTATTATTTTTATTTTAGCTTATTCCTTAATTCTTTAAAACAACCTAAGTTTATTTGTTTGGTATATTCTAAAATTTTGCTCAGATTTTGTTAATTGCATTTAATGGCATTTGATTGGTTCAATATGGTCACATTGACAGTTGATCTCAAAAATGGTCTCCAATCTGTTGTTAACTGAAACAAGAAATAGTTTGATTTTAACACCAAACAAAACTGCTCTCTCTGAAAGTTTTTTGCTTTCCATCAGAATGGCTTATGCTAACCTCCAGTAGAGTGATTCATTGCATCTTCTCAGACTAAGGTTTTCCACTGACATGGAGTGGAAAGATGATATTAAATCAACTATTAAGTCCTCTGCTATGAAAGTTGGTTCATTGTGCTGTGCTAGACAATTTTTCTCACTAGAACCTATCTTACACATTTATAAGTCTACCATTTGTCCATGCATTGAATATTGCAGTCATATCTGGTCTAGTGCTTCTACTATGCATTTAGAGATTTTTGATAAAATACAAAGAAGAATCTGTATTGTTATTGGTCCTAACCTGGCATCTTGGCTTCAATCACTTTCTCATTGTGATAATGTAGCTTCCCTGTGCTTTTCCTATAAATATTTTCATGATAATTATTCTGATGAGCTTTCCTCTTTGGTACCTTGACTTTACAAATTTAATCAACCTACTCTAAGTAGAAAGTCTTCTCTCATGGAAGAGGACAAAACTCCTGTTGCTTACAGCACCGCATAGAATCATCTTAGAGTCTTTTATCAGACTGACCCGGTTCTGTTATGCTAGATAATGGAGAAAACATCAAAATAAAAATTTTCCCAAATTGTCTGACATATTTTAAAGCCAGACCCCATCTCATCTTCCTCACAAAGGGCCTGATTGGGACTACTGCCTGGGCATCTTACTCAATCATAAATTCATTTCGTTTACATTTTTGATCTGAAGAAGTCTTAGGCAAAGCTGGTTGGTCGGTTCAATAATTCAAACAAGGAACATTGGTCTCAGACCTGTAGACAAAGTTGGTTTTCAAGACATATCTCCAATTCTCTCATTTTATCCTTTTGCAAATGAAAACTCTTAGGCAGGGAAAATTTTTTTTCAGTTAAAAAAATTATACTTGGGTAATATGTTGCAGGGGATAGTGGGTGGTGAAGAAGTCATATCAACTGCTCTTGCTACTTTTCATCATCTCACATAGACTTTATGATTTTCTAAGCGTAGCTTAGATGTGGCACAAGGCTGAAAGTATGGGGCACCCAGTGAGGATCGAACTCACTATTCAGTTGCAACTGTTTTAGCAGGACAAGCTTGCTAACCATTACACCACGCCAAGGTGCCCTCATCTCACATAGACTTTCTTCATATATTAGGAATATGTTCCTTTCAAGTGCCAGATTATAAGTTGATTTAAACACATACATAGAAACAAGGAAGAGTATTGATGACTTCATCCTCCAGTCTCTCATTAATAGGATCAGGTGAATTCTTGATCTCAACAGAGACAAAAGCAAAAAATTTGATAGTATTATAAAATAACTCCAATTTTGAATTTTCACCACTAATTAGTTACTGTGAGAGAATATGAGAAAAAGAAAACATTATTAAGGAGAGAACAATAAAGAACAGGAATTAAGAAGAAGATAACGAGTGACATTGCATTTAAATTTTTGAAGTACAAAGTTGACTGGAAAGTAAAAAGCCAGAAGAGTTTTACAAGCGAGAAGATTTCACACACACACACACACACACACACACACACACACACACACAGACATATATATATATTTAAGACATTTTTTATGTTTATACGTTCTTTTTATAGATACAAATATCTAAGTAAATGCTCTGTTTATAATAAACAGTATTAACAACATTTACCGGCCTGAATGTCCGAGAAATTTTCATAGAAAATATGCGTCCTCTGACAGAAATCGAACCTGTATCCTATACGGAACCATCATATAGCCTGATGTGCCTTAACCGATTGGGCCAGAGAGGAGCGTTCGGTTAGCAAGGTCAATTTTACTGTTTTTAAACACAATTCTCCATGATTTTCTCTCATTCATTCATATCTGCTCAATGTGTATCCAAATGTAAACAAATGACGTCATACATTATGAAATGGACAAAGTCCAACAATTATTTAAGACATTTTTTGTTTAGACATTCTTTTTGTAGATACAAATATTTAAGCAAATGCTCTGTTTATAATAAATTCATATACAAAATCCAACACTGACCAGATAAAGAGTGCCTTAGTTACAGCCTTTGCTACAGATTTGTTTATGGCACACAAACTGCCAGTACATATGATATAGCAAATCTGTGGATGTATATCTGGCTGAATTGA